AGGAGACTGGCAGTGGATCATTTAGAGCATTTCAAAGCAGACTGGACAAAATACTTCAGACAAAAACGTGAAAAAATTACTGTAACAGAGTGGGGAATTATGACACAATCTCCATTATAACTGCCCATATGCATGCTTCTACTCTGTGGTAAAAAGAGAGCCTCTCACTGAGGGGCAAGCTACCATGGTGTAGCATTCATGTTTTAGGATCAGTGCACATGTGGCAGCTGAAATGCTGTAGGTCCCTGTCATCATTTGTCACAGCTATTTATTTATGTGCCCATCCCTTAGAAAAAGCATAGGAAAAGAATAGTCCTGCCCTGGCAGAGAAATGGGTTGGAGGATTAGGTCTTTTCTATTTCTGTAATACTGTATTCAAAAATCAGAGGAGCATACAGTTTTGAAAGTACAATTTATGTTAAAAATGGGAAGGCCTCAATAATAAAACACAAGTGGTTTATTAGTAATTTAACAGATGAAGCTAAAACTAGTAATTTAGGATACTCAAAAAAGCCCTCCCAGCATTACAAGCATTATATTACATGTTTAGGATGATTTTCAAGCGAATTGCAAACTGCAGACTATAACATAATTTAACATTAATATAAAATTCCAAATTACTTTTATGGCAATAAATTACTATGCAATATTTAAGGCCTGAGTTTGTACACTTATATCCCTGCAGAGACTCTTTGAAGGCAGTGGTACTATTTCTAGATGTCAGATCAACTCCGGTGAAGTTTTACAGGCCCTTTATGATGAGACTGTAGCCCATTACTAGTTAACCAATATTGGAATTTCTGGAGTATCTTTTAAGTATTAAATTATTTTTTAGATTGTTTCAATCTTACCATAACAAACACTTACCAGAATGAGACTGAAAATACTGTACTGCAAATGCGATCAGTATTGAGACAAGAAAGGTTCCCATGAAGTAGATCTGTGGTAAGTTTAGAAATGTTAGATCCAGTGCAAAGGCAACCAATGTATTCGCTGTAACTGTATTAATGAATATAAATAATACATACCTGAGTAGAAGGCAAGATGTTATTCCAGAAAACTCTTAACTGAAAATAAAGCAATGCTAATGAACATGGACTAACGGAATTCTGGTTGCTATGATTCCAGCACCTGGAAAAAAAAAAAGGTGCTGAATATTTAATAGTCGTTCTTTGTACTTTTGTATGCATTTACAATTTAACCATCTGAAAGGATTTTACCGTTTTTGTACCAAGACCCATTTGTAAAGATCGATGGCCAGTCCTGACCCATAGCCCCCTGCCCCTCCCAGCCCCAGTGGGGACTGCCCGTGTCCTGTCTGGGCCAGAGCATGGTGGCTGCAGCAGCTCTGGCTCACGTGGGTGGCAGTGAAGCTAATCTGGCCCCAGCATGGGCTGGAAGGAGGAGGAGGGGAGGCCTTCTGGCATGAC